AAAAAAAAAAAAAAAAAATATTAAATGTCCATACAAAAATAAGCTGAAAATCATTTTCACTAGAAACTTTTTCATATCTGATAATTGATCATTGAACATTATATTATTATTTTAGTGACTATCTATTTATTTACAAAGTACAGAAACACCTGTTCAGTAGAGTGAATTTCAAAATTTTTCATTTTTATTTAATTTTTCAAGATTATTAAATAAATCAAGTATTTAATATATTGTATACTATTATTTCTATATTTTTGATTTTTTGATCATGTTTCATATCACTATTCTTTTTATTTTTTGTTTGATTTGTAATGTTTAAAAAGCTTAATTAGGTATAATAAAATTATTATAAAATTAAATTGTTAAGACTAAAATTGTTTTAGGTAGATTAATAAACCACAATAAATTATTCATCAGTAATAATATAATATATCTACTATTTTATCTGATATGGATAATATTCAGAAATGAACTATATAGAGGAAAAATTAAGTTTTAAATATAATTTAAAATTATACTGTATTTATTTAGATGGGCCATTTAAATGTTAGTAATTTAATATTTGCTGGTATCAGTGAGATACCGAACTATACACAATATCAAATGATGCACGCCGATGGAATTATTGGTTTAGGATATAATACCATGGCTAGAACGACAAACCAAACATTTTTTTATAAGTTGCTGGATGATAAAAAAATTTTGAAACCAATTTTCTCAGTATACATGAATCGGTAAGCAACAAATTTTAATATGATATAATTGCATATAATATGTAAGTTACATAACAATAATTAGGTATACAAAGATTGTGTGAAATATGAGTATGAGTATTATGCGTAATTTTGAGAAAATTTTGATTAGTTCGTTTATATTTAATGTATTTGGCAAAGGTTAGTCTTAGGTCTGGAAATAACCTAAGGTATTTAACTGTTTAGTATTTTAATGCTAATGAAAAAGTAAATATTGCAATGAATAAAAGTTTGATGTGTGTGGTATGTATGTAGATTTAAATTGAACTTTTTTTTTGCCTTCAATTAATGAACAAATATACCATAGGGTAAAGGGTTTTTTGAAGGTAGTAAGAAACTATGATGGAGAAAGAGTTTTTTAAGATTATAATCTTGTTATCAGCATAGTCGATATCCAACCTTTGTAGCGTGATGGGTTGATCATAATTCAGATTGATCTATAATAAGGATCAATATATATTCCCAGAAAATAAATTAAATTGAAAAAAAAAGTGAAAGAAATTGCAGATCGTAGTTGTTTCTAAATCAGTAACGATATGGTGAATACCAAATGCAACTATCATACTTAGGTATTAATACTTAAGGGTTTGTGACCGGGTGGATTCAGGTGTCTATACACCGTCAATTGTTCGAATCCCGGTCATGGGCGGTATCACTTTCCGGGCAGTTCCGGAGAAAGAGGCAACAGCCCCTCATACGAGAATGGCAGAAACCTACGGGTTCYCACTAGAACTTCTGTTAAAAACTCACACACATGTACCAAAATCCTACCCAACTTAAAAAAAACACCTACAGTACCCTCCCTACATCCAATGGCCTATGTAATATGTTGCCGCGGATTAACTGAATAAAAACAAAAATTAATACATATACGATTAAAATTTTATTTCAATAGGGATGAAACCACAAACAAAGGAGGAGTAATATTTCTTGGTGGAATCGAACCGAAACACATCAATGGTGAAATAACCTATGTACCTGTAACAATAAAAAAATATTGGCAAATTGAAATGAATCAGTAAGTAATTATTTTAAACAATATAAAAAAATCGTTTTTATATGACCCAAACAAATCATTTGTTGTTTATCTTTTATTTATATTACTATATATTAAATATACAGTTAAACTATTCTWTTTTATTATGAATTGTTCTTAAATAATTATAAAATTCATCTAATCAGGAATTTTGATATATCAAATGAATTTAAATTTAAATTCAAACAAAAGTTGWTGTATTGCTTAATTCGGTGTACCAACGATAATGGGGTTGAATAATATGGAGACCACAGTGGATTGAAATTTTAATAACTAAAAATATCTATTAAAATTTAATAATTTATGAAAATTATCCCATGTATAATAAATGCTATAATCAACATTAAATCTATTTTTTATTATTGTAAAAACATTTTTAACAACTTTAAATGGTATTACGGTTATTTTAATAACTCAGATATTACTTGTTAGGATTTAGATTAAGATGAATCAACACTAAAATAAAAAAAAAATCATTTAAAAAATAATATCCGCTAAAAATGGTTTTATAAACTCTTGAGAACTTTATTTAATATATAATATTTAATATGCATTAGTCTACAAACTTATTTATCATTAAACCTACATTGTATACTTATAATAATTATAATAATTATATTTATCCCAGATTATGTTAAACTGTTAAGTATAAGAATATTATATTTAAATTCACAAAATTACTTCTCRCAAAAATCGTAAATCTTGCATTACGTTATACWTGCATTTTACTTGACGAACATAACTCATATGGTTTTAATTCTTAGTTTAATCATTAAATTACTTACTGGTGTCATTTTTTTATTTGAATAATCTGTGGTTACAACTGCATCAACGTAACTTTTTATTATATATATAAATAAAAAGATTTTTACTCTATTTACCATAAATTAAATTTTAAATTCTTAGTGGACAAATAAATTAATTGATTTTACAATAGTATGACATTAGTATGGATTTTATCATGTTTTTGATCAGAAAAGGTACATTCTCCAATCATCAAAAAGTTCAATTTCGGAAAAATAGTTGTATAATATAGTTTAAACATTGAAAACTGTTGACAATTAATTTTTTTATTTTGTCAATATTTCTAAAAATATGACATGAGATTATTGAAATACAATTAAAAAGTTTCAAAATACATTGTATAGTTTTATTTTTTTATTTTTTTATTTTTTTTGAATCTCAAATGCCCACAACATTTTGATTTTTATCAAAACATGATAATGTAACTTATGGGCTCATATTTATTTGACTTGAGTCATAT